CCCAAACCCAACCCAAACCCAAACCCAAACCCAACCCTTCTTTAGGATTGGCTTCACTAGGTGATGTGCGGGGCGAGGAAGATCCTCTATTAGAATTCTTTGGACTATATCTTTTGGCCATGATATTTAATTTTTAAAAAATAAATATAGCTTCTATGTTTAAAAAATAATAGAATTATCATTGTATTAATTAGATATACTCATAATTGATTATAATTTATGATCTAATAAATCAAAATTTTATTGATTATTCTGTTTCAAATTAAATATTTCCAATTTTACTTATAAAACACGTAATTACTCATCTTAATTACAATCAGATTTTTGTATACGATTTATTAATATTGTTCAATTCATAAAAATATATAGATTCTACACTATAAAGTTGAAAAATGAATGAATTTTTCATTCATAAAACATTAAAATTGTTTCGACTATTAATATTTATTCATCACAATCTCATGAAATTAATTTTTTCTATTGTTAATTTAAACTTAATCATATTACATAATTAAAATGATCTTTAATAGATTATGAACATAATAAACAATGATTCTATTTCATTCTTACCTTATATTATAGTTTCATTATTATTCAATAATAAAAAAAGTATCCCACCACTATTTCCGTATTAGCAAACCCATTTATTTTTTCATTCAAAGACTATAATATAATTAATTAGTCATAACTTCTAGAAATAAATTCCTTAAATTTCTTTATAAACTATACATAATATTTATTATAAATATTTATTATTTTAATTTGGATTTAGTATCTTATTAAACGTTAAATAAAATAGGAACTCTATCAAATTTATATATTTATTGTATAATTTTAATAGTTCCTTTTTTGATATATACATTTTAATACCATAATTTGTTCCATAATGTATAAACAGCTTTAGGAAATGATAACTTAATAAAATAGCTAAAACATGATTAATCGAATAAAGCAAATTTGAAATAAAGTAATGAAGTTTTAAATGATTTCTTACGAAATTCGAAATAGCATGATTGTCTTATTGAATAATTCTAAAATATGGTTATTTTTTATAAAGAATACATGCAAAAATTGGAACCTTTTAGAAATAAATTATTGAGTTTACATCAATACCAAGAGGATGTATATTATAAATATAAGATAGAATTGAGAATAGAAAAAACAACAATAATATTTCAATATTTCTGCATAATTTTATGAATGGAACTTAATAAAATAAATAAAAATTAACTATCCAATTGTAATTAATGGTATGAAATTTAAATTCTATCAATACTATTTAGATTGAACTCCGTACAACTCCCCCTCCACCTTCACCTCCCCTACCTTAACTTAAATATTAAGGACCTCCTCCACCTCCACGTTTAATTATGAGTAAAAAATGAAACTGTTAATTATTTATTTTTAAATTATCACAATTTTGAGATATTTTTTAAATGTCTAAATTATTGAATTCCCTTTCTATAAACTTTTTTTATAATATTTATCTAATAATTATTTATTACTACATAAAGCCTCATATGGTTACTCAATCTAAAGACAATTTTATCAAAGAATCTTTATTGATTATCTATAATATATTTAAATAAATGTTTTATCTAACTACTATGAATCTCAAAAGCGTATCTTTATACAAAAAAATGAAAACTTAATTATTTAATATGTAATGCACAAGTATAAATATAAACTTAATTTTGACATTAAGTGAAATATTTTTATATTTAAATTTATTTTATATATCATTTTTTAATATAGTTTCAGATACATTCTAAAAAAAATAGCGATCATAAAATTTATTATACAATTCAATCCATGTCTATCCTTTTTTTCTGATACCTATAGAGTCTATGTAACTAGCGGATTAAAATTTTTTATCATTTATACAGATATATTCAGCTGCAAAACATATTCTATTTTGAAAATTCTTCAGGCTTCTTATGAATAATACCATTTTTAAATATAAAATTTAATTAAAAACTATCATAAAGAATATTGATTTTAATTGCTTTTTTACAAATTAATATAAAATTTCATTATCTTTACACAAATTTTAGAATTTTCAAGGAATTCCATATTTTTACAGTTCTTCATCTTTGATTATCATTTTTTGAATAAAAATTTAATAGAAACAATACTGTTAAGTCAGATAAAAGTAATTAATAGAAATTCTTTAATCAAATAGATAGTATTTGAATTCCAAAAAAGGTTTTATTTGCTGTTTGAGGAGAAATTAGATGATTAAAAACCTCAATATTTAAATAGTTTATGAAGTCTTTTAGATTTTTTTTATTTAAATTTATATTCCTCATATATCAATTTGAAAATACTGATAACAATTAAAAATTCAATAAAAAGAAATATATTTTTAATTATTAAATTATTCTCTATATTTTATCCTAATCATATGCTTATTTAAATTATTAATTCTAAATAGAATTATATTTTCAAAGATTTTAATTATAAATTATGATTAATCATTATTTATAAATAGAGATATTTAATTCAGTTAACTTCATACATTAAGATCCTATATGGTCTGACATCTTCTGAATTATTTACAATAAAGTAATGTTTTTCTTTCATTTGTAAACTCTATCTAATTTTTTTTGGGTTAACTCTTGACATAAAAATAGTTGAAAAATTTTTTTCATGTACTTTGATAGGATTTGCATAACCATCTTTAATACAAGTCATAAAATTATCACAGAAATATATTCCATTTCCAACTTTAACCGTTCTGCCATATTCATCAATGCAATCATCATTTGTATAGGCCTGTCGGGTACCTGGTTTTAGAGAAGCCTTTATAATACTTTCTACATTACTATTGCTGGTTCCATGAAACAATATTCTCCACTCATCCTAATTTCCATTCATTTTAATCCAGTTGTCATCTTAACCATATTTTGTGATATTCAAACCAAATCCATAACATCCTTTTGGAAAATAATAATTATAACGATGATTAAAAGGTCCTCTCTCTTCAAATTCAGGTAAATGATCCCAAGTCATATTGAATTTACTATTAAAATCATTCAGTTCTAGTCCAATTTCTGTACGTTTTTTATCTTAGGCTGTAACAAAGTAATTGTAAAATTCAACATTGCCATTGCAAACTTTTTCAAGAAATTCAATAGATTTTTTGTCATTTTCTAAATCGATTTTGCTCCTAATCTTGAAAGAAATGATAGTACTTCCTTCTGTGATATCCAAAATATCCACTTCAGATGATTCAATCTAATAAATTTTTGCTACTTTTTCTTTAAAATCAAAAAGATATTCGTCTCTAAGTTTATCATAAAGTTGTAACTATTTAAACTCAACTTCTTTTGTTCGAAATCTCAGACATTATTAATCTTATCCATAAACTCCAATTATAGAATCAAACCCACATGAGTGTATCCCATCTGTTAATAGAAATTCTCTATTTTAATCTCTTGATATAGCTTCTTTTAAAACATAAAGCATTATATTAGTGTTATCTTTTTCAATTCTTTAATTAATCTCAGGAATAATTATACTTTTCACATGTTCACTTTATCTTAAGACTGACATTAATTATATTTTTAATCTACTTTTTTTATATTTTTTTTCCTCTTAGGTAATATTATTATTTTATTTATCTAAGTTTTAGATATCATCTTGTAAATATTTGATTTATTCATGAATAGGTTTATTTTTTAATCTTATTTCACTTTATATATGATGGTAAATATAAGAAAAATTATCATCAATCACTTTCTTCTATAAAATAATCTCACTTTAAGATTAGTTTTAGCTCTTTTATTTGAAAATTTGACTTGTTATAGACATTTTAAATTTGTAATATTATAAATTATTATGATAGAATTAGAATTTATTGTTATTTTAATTAAAATAACCAATTCATCATTTATATAATTATTAAATTAATTCTATATGGATCTATATCCCTATTATTACAATTAATTAAAGCTCTTTCACCATTATAAAATTCAGAAGAAAATATAATTTCAATATATTCCTACAATTAATTTTTATATATGATAACCCTATCCTATTTCTTAATTCAAAATTACTTATGATTTAACCAAGTTATTTAATAATTTATCTTCAAATATTACTGATTTCAGAATTAACAAATTTATATAAATATTTATTGAAATTATCTTAAATACAAAAAAAAAACTAAAATCATTCATCTATTTAAATTTAATAATTAAAGAATCTAGAGATTTATTGATAATTTTTAATTAATTATTCCTATTACTTATCTATTTCATTTAAATCAATTTAAAAATTATTAAATTATTATTTTAAAGATAATCTATTAATTAAAATTTTTGAATTATCTAATCATTTTTATATATTAACTTATTTTGTTATGCTAAAATAAAAGAGAATTAATGAAAAGAAAAACTAACCATATATCATAATGAATCAATTTGAATTCATCATAATTCAAATATATTCACTAATTAATTCATTAGAATTACTTATTATTTAGATAAAAATGATAATAAAAACTTATATTTTAATGTATTAATAATAAAAAATCATCACCCCGAAGACTCGAACTCGGACAGATGTTTTTCTAGAACAACGCTCTACCTCTAAGCTACGTGATGAAGTTAATAAATATCTTACTCAATAATTTATTAAGAAATTTCTAACTGCGTTGGTATGTTCAAATATAAATTACTTTGTTCTTTGAATTTCCCTTAGATTATAATATATTTTCTTTTTAATATTTTATATCTTAAAAAAAACTGCTTATTATATTGATTAAAAATAATATCATATCGATTTGAACTTTTGTACATCTTTAAAAGTGTCAGTTTAAATTTTAATTTTTTTTATGTACAACATTTAACCATTTCCATTTCCCATTCATCCATGATTTTCCTAATTACTGATTTTATTTCGAATTTTAAACCAATACTTAAATTCTTCAGGTAATCACCATCCTAAACTTACTTATAATAATGATAAAAAAATCATTTTTTCTTTTTTATTTAAATCTTGACTTAATATTAATAATATGTTATCATAATATTCATTTTACTTTTTGAATTGATTTATGTTATTATTATCATTTCTACATATTTAATATAAAAATGTTCTTCCTTAAAATTGACAATTTTATTTGTTATGCAGTCCACTTTTGTATAAAAATCTATTCTTTATATA